GTGTAACTCGGCTACAGACAGAACCGAGTTCTTATCTCCAAGCCCCGTGTAAAGCTATTTAAAAACACAGAACCTTTCCATCACGAGGATCCCACTTGTGCTTTCAGTCCCGAGGCTGCTACTATTTAACCCCATCGCCGTCACGCACACGTCTGCAGACGTGACAGGGCTTGGTCACAGAGGAAAGCGCAGCCTGTAGTACAGTATTAAACCGAAGGTACAAACTTGAAATGTGTCTTACTTTCTTTTTTTGCTTACAGATGCGTGAGTAATTGTGTTCTCACTGTAGCATTTTCTCCAACACTCAAACCTTGGGCAGCTTTCCCGTCTGTACTGATCGATCACCCAGTCGGAGGGTTTTCATTCTATTCTGATTCTACTGTCTCAGTTGACTTTAATCGCTTGAGTTCAATTTTCTGATTAAGTTTACAAAGCTGTTCAAAATCACAAAAGAAAGTAAATGGCAGAAATAACATGTTTCTGTCTCCTTTTTGTGCTCGTTTATAAAGCAACCACAGAATGTGGGGATTCAAATTTACATTAAAGTCACATACAGGTGATCGCAGTCAGGTTTTTTCCTCCCGGTTATAAATGCATATTTTAAAGAGCCAGTGTAAGGGAAGTGTGTACTCGCACAACCACACACTGTAAAACTTGATTAGTGCCAACAGTTGGGGAACAGGAGTCGAGCTTGTCTGAGAGGCTGTTTGATTTTTGGTTTGTGATGACAAACCTGACACTCTTCAGTCCACAAAAAGAGTTTTTAGTTGGTCACTTAAAATGAGGCTGAACGCTGATGTTGGCTCACGAGCTGAGCGGTGGATTGATTGTTCACGTGCTGCACGTCACAGCGCTGCTGGTGATCTTGTGTTAAAAACAAAGTTTGTCAGAAGTGCTCAGGTGGAGTAAAAACGTGGGTTCTGTACAACTCCTGCTCCCTTTTCTTCATCTTCCCTCGTCTCGTCTTTTGCCTTGTGTTTGTCTTTCTGTCCATCCTTTACTTGAAGCATCTCTGGGTTGACTGAATTATGTTTGTATTTTGGAAACAGGTGACAAAATTAATCGTACGTTAAATCATAATTCAGTAAAATTGTATTGTACAATTTTAAAACGCCCAGTGGCATTTCAAATGAAAGCAATTTCACATTTATCCTGTTCTTATAGTTTCTGAAGGAGTTGACGCTTCATGCTGCATGAGCAAAATCAGTAAAATCATTCACACGATACTAGAACAGTTTATGACAACAGCAGAATCTCTCGGTATGACAAAAGACCGGTCTGGTCGTTGTTTGCTATGTTGTATTTTCCTGGAGCACCTTATCCATGGAGGTGAGAGGTGGATGGTCTGTGTTCGGAGATCCAGTTCAGGAAAGTGTGTGTGTGTGTGTGTGTGTGTGTGTGTGTGTGTGAGAGAGACTGAGTGTATTTAAAACATCTGTAAAGGAAAATCTCCCAGAGTTCCCAAAGATGTGATTTATTGAAGAATTGTTTCCTGGATTGTGACATTTGTAATAAATGTATGTTCATGTGATTCTTTTGTGTGACTCCTGCTACAAAACCAAACTACTGATACACTCACGGATCATTTTACCCACTGGCCTGTGAAATGTGGACATTTTTAAACACACACAGCAACTCTTTAAGTAACAGATGGATATTAGTCAGGGATCTATTGCTATGTTTTTGTCTTTTGGTGTGTTGGTAATTCATCACAAAGAAGTACAGTGCAGAAAACACTGGGCACTGTCTCAGGCTCACATGAAGCCCGATGCACTCAGAACAGATGTGTCGGGAAAAGTGACACAGCAAAACAGTTTAAACATTATTTTGTATTTAATAAGTCCTTTTGGAAAGTCATGATCCTGCTTGGTATGATAATAACCTACGAAGTCGGATTTGGCTTAAAAATGTACATTAAGTACTTTAAATATAATACGTTATGCTACAGGATAATTACAGATTCGTTAATACCTCACGTTAATGTTGCAGCTGAAGATGATTTTAATTACTTTTACATAATATTACCGATATTAATACGACCTTTTAGATTTCTATTTTAAATTTGCAATAATATTAATAATAAAACTTTAACTGATACTTGAACATAAAAGTTACGGTCGATCCACCGTCTCATTCACTCTTTTCTCGAGGCACGAAATGTACAATCTCCGATTTTCAGCGATTCTGATGAACGTCGGACAGCATCTGAGTTAAACGTATTTCCTTTTTGCATCTTTAAGCTCCAACAATCATCTGGTTCCGCTGAAACAGGCTAATGATCGTCTGTAGGTGACGGTTTAAAAGTAACAGCCTGATGGAAGAAACGTGAATCATCCTCATGACGAATGATTTGGTGAACAAATAAGTGTAATCTGCAACATTCGTGAACATTTTGATGTGTAATATTATTATTAGTAGTACCAGCTGTTTCCCTTACAAATAAATGTCTTGTTTCGAATGTAGGAACCGATATACGGTAGTCTTTGTTTTACCCGATGGGGCGCGAAGGCGCACAAAGTTCACTCGTTTCCTTGGTAACAGGATTAAGTACGCTAGTGAGCAGTTTAGCCGACATGGACATCAGGGAGCCGGGTGAGTTAAACACGTTAGGACACATTGAATACGTCACGAGACTTCTGTAAATGAACTTTTTCACTTATGAGAAATGGCGGGCATTTAACGCCGCGTGCGTCTTTGATTAGCCGCCTCGGCTAACTGACGTTGCTCGCGCGGGGACTCTGATGAGAGCAAATAACGGAAACACACTTCAAAGCTGATGTTACGTTTGTTGTGAACGTTAGCGCTGGCTACCTGCCTGTTTTATCTTACAGGTGTTAGCAGAAGGGCAGTGTTCACCTGTGTGCTCGCTTTATCTTCTCAGAAATCCGGAGTAGTGGAGACAACATGGTAAACGTGTTCGATACGGACGAGGAGCACTTTGCTGTTTCCAGGTGGGTTGTAGTGAAATGCTTTCTAACCGTCTGCAGGAAGCTGACGTCCTGTTTTAAGTCAGATTAGATGCACTCATCGTGGGCATGAATATCAGGGTAATTTAGGGCTTTTTCCAGGGTGGAGTGATTGTTCAGCAAACATGTTTAACGGGTGCAAAAGTTCAGAGTCATTTGGGATTTTCTCTTGCTGTGTAAAATCCACCACAGAGCAGGAACTCGTGGAGTTTGTGCTGATTTCTCTCACTTCTCTCCCTTCAGTTCCTCGGCTGCAGACACGGCCTTCGACGGCGTTATTGGCTGCATAGAGGACATCATCATGGGTAGGTGCACTGACAGCGCCACCAGTTAGTGATGAAGACGCGCTTTCTACATGTCCACTGCTTCTCTTTCAGAGGACGACTTCCAGCAGATTCAGCAGATTTTCATGGAGAAACATTACCGTGAGTTTGATGACTCTGATGAGAACAAGCTCAGCTACACACCCATCTTTAATGAATATGTAAGTGTGGGCAGAGTTCACACTCATACAGAGACGTTCAGTTTTTACAAATACGTTGACTTAAAGCAGAATCTTGGCTGTTATTTAGATCGACCTGCTGGAAAAATACCTGGAGCAGCAGCTGATGGAGAGAATTCCCGGCTTCAGCATGGACACCTTTAAAGAGTTACTCATGTAAGATGTGACAGAAAGTGGAACCTGAACTGAAAGCAACCCATGTGTCAGTTATGTTATGTTGCTCGTAAGAAATGTTATTTTGCAATAGACCACAAGGTGGCACACAAGTACGCTGAAAAAGTGACGAGTTTATCTCCTTCCTCTGCAGGCAGCACAAGGAGGAAGTGTCAGGTGACATCTTTGAGATGTTGCTGACGTTCACTGACTTCATGGCTTTCAAGGAGATGTTTCTGCAGTATAGAGCTGTGAGTTTTCTGTGAGCTGGAGAATAACTATAAAAGTGGCCCCGTTTAAATAACAGGGCAGCTGTGACACGTGGCTCTTTGTTATGAAGTTTTGAACCCTGTGTGTGTGTGTGTGTGTGTGTGGGGGGTACTGTACATTAATGCTGGATGTATATTTCTAGGAAAAGGAGGGCCGGTGTCCAGACCTGAGTCGGGGACTGGTGGTCACATCTCTGAACCTCGGAGGCTCCAAGCATGCTGACTTTAATGAATCTCAGTGAATCTCTGGAAAATTGTTCCAGGGCCTTAATGAAAGTGTTCAATTCAGTCTTTTAACATAAATCTTCTGTCTGTAACGGATAATTTATATTTGTGTTTCTCTGCGTTTTATGTAGAGGGATCAGTGGAAGAGCCTCTGTTTCTGTTTGCCATGAAAGGTTGAAGGTTTTGCCCACTTTCTGTTAACAATCACTCGACTGCATGTGACTGCTTGAAAAGTTAATATTTGTTCAACTGCAATTCATATTTTCATGCTTTCACTCGTGTGCAGTGATTCTGTTTAGCTCTTACTGGAACTGCCTGTTTGAAACAGGAAGTAGAGTATTTCTGTCCCTGTGCTGTGAAACAAATATGCTTCTTTTTTCAGAAAGTAGTAAAGTAGAACTAATATGTTTCATGGACGTAAATTATTTTAACAGTCTTTAAGTTTCGAACTTGTCAAAGTAACGTTTAATGTAAAATGATTGTGTGTGTCTGCAGTTAGTTTTTGGTACAAATTGTTTTTTACGTGTTTAGAAATGTTTCATTTTCCAAGTATATTTATTTCTCCGTTGTTGTTACGATTGTCTGTAAAAAAACAAAAAAAACAATATTTTCAAATAAGCACAAAAGAAAAACTTCAGTCGTTTATTTGAAGTGCGTAGCTGAGCTCTAGCACTCAGCGCAGGATTTCACCAACGTTCAAACTCTTGGTACAAAAAGACTCGCGTGGTTCATAAAGGCACGTCCAGCACAGCAGGAGAGGAGCAGAATCACACAAAAACAGTACTCCACGCCTGTGGAACAATATTTGAATCATGCAGAAATATCAGTGTCAGTGTGTCAGCATCATGATTATTTTCCTACAGGTGCATTATGGGTGGTTTTATTGCTAAAAGGCTCTGTTAGGCCCAGTAAACCCAAACTGTGAAGCCAACTTTCAGTGGTTTCATCCTCATCTTCTTGTTGATAGATGCAGAATGCAGCAGAGAACTGCCCAACGCCCAAAGCTGGAGGTCGAGATCTGCAGTCCTCCCTTAGCTAACAGGTTTAT